AAGAGGATAATTAAACTGAATCCGATAATACAACACTAAGCTTAAAAATTCTTGCTGCTGTGACTGTAAATCTTCTGGAAGTTTTTGAGCTATAGTTGTTCAACGTCGATGACTTAATTTATAACGAATCATAAAACCATCAACCCATTTATTACTAAATTTACTTTCAGTGATACTAGGATAATATGTAGTGTAAGGTGGTTTTTGAGATAATGCTTTTGCCTTAATTTGGATCATGGCACGAGTTACAGGTTTTTGATTACAACGCAATTCTTGTACCCACTTATAAACTTCATTTTCTAATTCAGGATACTTTGGTGGCTTTCTTTTGTTCATTCGTTTGATATGAGGTGAAACATTCATTAGCTCATTTTTTTTGCTACGCCAATCTCTTACTTGTTTTGGCTTAATATTAAATTTGTTAGCTATTGCTCAAACACTCTGAGTTGGATGTTTTTCAAGGTATATAATAACAGCAAGCTTCTCGCGTGCATTCCATTGTTATCTTACTTTATTAGTTACTCAGGCATGATCACTATTCTTATTTCCACGTACGCAAACTATTATTGCTAAAGAAAAAGAGGTTTAGTTTTTTTTTTATTTATTTATTTATTTATATATTTGCCCCTTTAATATTTATAGCCTTCATTATAACTTTTTATTTCTATAAAAGTAAGTTTTACATATGCATGTATTGTACATAGCTACGTAGAGAAGTGAAAAATCTGGTAGGGCTCCAAAAATTGAGTCTTTGTTAAAGTTTGGTCCCAAGTCAGACTTGGGACTTCAACTTGTATGTCTTTATTAAAGTTTGGTCTCTAGTCTGACTTGGGACTTCGACTTGTATCTGATATCTGCACATGTATTTAGTATCTGGAGAATCGCAAAGATACGCATAAATATACACTATATCTAAGTATACTAAATATATGAAGTCCCAAGTTTGACTTCGAACTGAAACAAAAACTTGATTTTTGAAATCGAGTTAGGACCGGACTAGACTAACTATGGCTATATAAAAGACCCTCCTATTATAGTACCCCCCTTGCATAATATCCCTATGCTTGTGTACCCTTCTTTGTAATTAGTACCCGGGCGGGTACTATTTAAGAAATTCGATAGTTTCTGGAATAGTACCCCGGGTACTGTAGTCAGCGCCATATGGTACTATGCTTGGGATCGTCTTTTTTTTTTAAAGGATGCTATTATTCAACTTCAAACAGATCTATATACATCAGTGGATCAGAATAGTAAAAAAGATGGTAATAAATTAAGAAAGATTCATCTTTTAGATGACGAGTGGGAACTAATGGACCAGCTTATTGATTTGTTGATGCCGTTCGAAAAAGCAACATGGGAGTTCTCAGGAAATACCTATGTAATGTTAAGTAAACTCATTCCAACTATTAATAAAATGATTTTTGATTTAGCAAATGAAGCATCATCAAGTAATAATTTGTTTTTGAATGAAGATACGGTATTTGAAGAAGAAGTCCAACCTATTGACTTTGATAAAGAAGAAGTTATTAGCAATGTTACTAAAAAAAAAATTTCAATTAAAAACCCGCTAAATACAACTGGCATTTTGGAAAAAGTCGAGCAAACCATCTATGATGCATTAATTCATTATTGGAATGATCCGAATGATCTTGGTTTGATGGCAGCCCTATTAGACCCTCGTTATAAAAGTTTGGATTTTCT